AGAGCCCTTTGTAAGTTCTCAACATAACATCGGTCTCTGTACGCCGGTAATGTTATCGACTGTATAATCATCTTCCTTACTACTGCGAGAGCAGCTCCTATTGACTTATACATTTAATGTTAACATATATTATTTTAAATTAAATTTTCCGTCTTTCAACGTTGGGCGAGATGAAAAAAAGTATATATACAACTTCTGTTTACATTTAAATTATATTCCACTGTTTGCAACGTATTGTTCTAAGTGGTCTTAAATCTTCCTCAGGCCATCTGATTTAATGTAGAAATTGGTGCTTATTCAATTCTCTTCCTTATAAAAACTTCCATACCTCGAGGGTTATGTAAATCACTGAGTAATACTTAAATAAATGATAGCGTGTTCGAAAGCATAACGGCTTACATTCAGACATTGCTACTTGCAGTTTTCGAAATTTGATACGTTTAAGCATAGACATAATAATTTCGTGTAACTAAAGATAATGAGCGAATCAATTTGTGTTAAGAGCGTGGTAAGTTTACAGATTGTATGAGGTGCATCGTTAGGTTAATTCGGGTATGTCGGCGGAAGCGGCGCATAGCGAGCTTTCGGCGGTTCCCACGGCGCCCGCCCCGCACCCCTTAGCCCCTCGCCTCGCCGCGCTCTCTGTTACACAATGAGAGGTGAACGCGGATCTAAGCAATCGCTTAACCTCGCCCACTACACGGCGTGGCGGCGCTGCGACGGCGGCGGTACGAGCGCGCCCAACCGATGCGCCCTCGATACCGGACGAAAACGTGCGCTTTGCGAAAAATTATACAAACTTTTATCATGAAACTCACAGCGCTGATATATTTCATGTTTTATTTAAAGAACAGGAAAAATACTAATATGTACGTTAAAAATGGATAAACATTTTCTTTGTAAGGTACTAAGCATCAATACACTGTTGAACAATAATATCCAAATAAGAAGTACTGCAGGTACAGAATTATATTCAACTATAAGACGATCATAGCCAATACATATTCATATTTGATTACTTACAATAAATTAGACATTGCGAAGTTTAAATAAATTTTATTTTACATTATAACAATAGTTTTCAGGCACAAGGGCGTGGGTTTGAGAGAGTTTATTAGATAAATAAGAAAAATTCGTTTTCAAATAACTCAAGTTGCATTACAACGGTCGTCAGTGTCGCCGCGGGCGAGGCAGTGATGGGCACTTTCGATACATCCGGCAGTGTTGTGCCGGTGCCGGGGTCACGACCGTTCTTTTTGTCCAGCAATGTACACGCGACGTGCGTGATTATATTCGGCTTAATTATGCTGTCACATCGTCACTTGGGCGATAGTGAAAGCGAACGATACACAATAATGATAGAGGAATATGCAAGCGACGCTTAGATGGTCGCGTACTAATGATTATTCTGATCATTAGAATACAACTTTTGTTACATCCATGTATTAGTATTGTGTATTAATGCTATTTAATCTTCGAAGTTGAGCTAATGTAAGATAAAAATTCAGACAGTGATACCAATAATTATAAGAAAACATTGCTGAAGAAAACATTTCCCTTTCAAAGACATACTGATGATGTTTTCTTAAAACGTCGCCAATCAAGGAGGGTAATATTATGTACATGATAACGAACTAAAAAAAATATTAATTATATACTCTGAAAGTTTATATAAAAAAGTTATCATGCACCAAGCACTTTAAACCTTTGCACGTCGTCATATCTGAGATGGAAGTCACTAGAACTGACCAACGTTTCCTTGTTCTTGTACATTCATTATATTTATTTAATCGGTAAATAAGCGATTATTTTTTATGTATATGATAATTAAAACGAATTTTTATATAAACTTGTTTACTCCATTCTATAAAACATATAACCCGTTCTATTTTCGCTTTTTTTTAATTGTATTATTTTTTATTGTCAACTCGTTCGTATCTAACTTGTACAGTGTGACACAAGTAAACTGGTTTCGTTTGTGTTTAACTTTGTAGTTAAATTTATCTTAATATAAATTATGGTATTGATAATAAATTGATTCTTTCCGGGTCATTTAAAATCCCAATTAATTACAGACCCAGTTTTAGTGAGTTATATCACATGATTCAGTATGTACGTAGCAAACTGGAAATGTGAATGGAGCTATAAACTAGTAAATCACAGTACACAGGTGCGGAAGCCAAGTTTTTGCCTTTGTGGATATCAAGCTAACGTCTATACCAGTAGTTAACATAATTGCGACGGATATTTATATGATTCATATCCACTTAAAAGATACGCGTTCACTAGACAACGAGAAAGAAGCAAAGGTGTGCGTTTATCTTACAATTAAGTGTTAATATTACTGCTAGTTTCCAACACTGAATACGTCTATAAAAATACTTTCATTCCCAACAATTGTCAAAGAAAATGGGATTTTTTGACAATCGGAACTTACGTTTGCAAACCTCAAATATTCAAAATTCAAAATTTATTATCAACTATTGAAAATGTCTGTGAATACATCCAGCAACCTAAAACTAGTACCATTGTTTCCTGCATCACGTATTACAGTCATATGACCAACAATTGCTACACCACCTTACAATGGCCTTAAAATCAAAAGCCCGCGCTTCTGTACGCCTGAGGCGTTTAATGCTTGACTGCTACAACAAAAGCTTGAAAGTTTCTTTAAGTTAGAGACGCCAGTCGCTAATTCATTGTTAATAAATAGGTACATTTAAGCCTACATCTCTCGTCCAAGGACTGGTTAAAATATTAAGTTTTAATTATAAATGTAATATTTTCATTATTTATCACTACGATAACTAATTATAGGATATTAAAAGTTGTCAAATTGAAGATTTAAAACCAGACAAAGTAATGTGCCTCTGTTCTAATAAGCTGTCCTTCGAAACGATAATATGCTATATTCAATAAATAATTCCACTTACTGTGTCCTATGTACGTTGAGTGGGATTATTTATAGTTGACTGAATTTGGATTGGATTAATTTAATCGGTAAAGAAAAAAATAATACATTTTCACTTTCAATGTTTTTATTTGAAAAATATTTTAATAAATTTTCTGCTATTTTACATAACGCGCTCACGAGCTTGTTCACATTGTAAATACAGCTTTCGAGTATTATTATCAGAATGGCTTCGCATTCGAGACGAGACGAACCGCGCCCAACCTCTACACGATTTATATATTAATTTTATATTCCAATTCCAATAGCAAATAAGATTTTAGAGTTAAATTATTTCGTGATAAACAAACTTGTTTTGAACCGACAATGACGTGTTAACGTAGTTTGTTCTGCATTTTACGATTGTTTAATGCGTCGTGGGTATTTTTCAATGCCGGTAAAAACATGTTGCACATATTATTAAATGAATAAATATAATGTAAATTAAATACTAGGCGAATAAAAAATTTGCGCACATGTACTGACCCTATTGTAAAACTTGGCAAGACTAATAATTATTATGATAAAAGTTTATTAAAACGACATCAGTGACCTATTTATTTATTTGCTTATTTGCTTATTTGCACATTTATGTCTTTTTCAGTTGTTACATATTATTTTTAATAATACAAAAATTACTAAGACGTACTAAATTATGTACGTTATCTATTTATTCATAAAAATTCAGAAGAGAAAATTCAGAGAGGAAAGAAGTAATATGGGTTATTGTTTTTTAGTTAATTTGAATTCTTAGTTACAAAAATTTCGCTTGAATATTTCTGTGTACTTATTTAAAAATTATTTTTCCACAGGACTTGCAAGCGCGGCGCGAGACGCTGCGAGACGCGGTAGAGGCGCAGTATCCAAGCGCGTTTGTTCCGGCTCCGGAATATTCCGGTCCTCCTTGAGCCGCACCGCTGAATACGGGCCCGATCGCAATCTTTTAGATCATCGCATATATTATACGAATATAGCTTGTAAATATATTAACCGACCGAATATTATGCAGTGACACTGCACCTTACACGAAAGTTGATTTTTTTTCAATATTTCCTTATAGATGCAAATGGAATCATAATTTTTATATTTCATAAAATCGTTATAATATTTGTAATTTTTTTGTAGAGTTGCCTTTTAAAAGTTTTAGGATGAATTAAAAACTTGCATAGTATAATATACTATAAAAAGCTATCTATGTGGAGGTAAGTTATTTTTGCTAACAAAATTAATACTGAACCTTATAACCAAATAAAAACTGCACACCACACACCACACACCGCTCACCGCACTCCGCACAGAAGCTCTCAACGACAATAAAACTACGTGACATGCATATAAAATATCTAAAATGAAGAACCGTCTACTTAAACACTTCCTACAATATTCATTTCATATTTTTAATATACTCAATTCGTCGATGTCTTTTTCTTTGAGTAATTTTCTAGAGTTAATTGAACTTTAAAATAATTTCATTGTTTATTTTTTTATACAAGGAGATTAAACACAACTAGATTTAAAAGATACATACTTAAGGTTACTCAAATATGACAAATTAAACCCCAATAGTTTAAAAAGAAGCAATTCAAAAGAAAGAAGCAAATAATTATTACTATTTGTTAGCTGTATGGGGTAAAGCTGTCATGTGCTAATTTCGTTAAAGATAATCAAATGTATTGCAATTAGTGCAGCTTTAAAATTAAAATACAATATCAAACATAGAAACAAACACCTTTTATGTTACGATTCTACCTGAAATGATTAGGTAATCAACCTTGGTCTACCCAGATCAAGGCAAATCGATAATAATTTGATTTGTATTGTGTTACCTGTCCATGTAGAATCCTGATCCTCTCGATGCGTAGTTAAAAAAAGATGTGTCGTCATCGGGTCAGTGATCATGACTAATTTTCAGTTTACGCCGCACTTAACACGTACGAGACGAAACGTAACCTTAGTTGTCAGCGTTACTTTCATAAATTATTGTGACTAAGAAGAATTTTAAGAGTTTATGCAACAGCCACGAGAAATAGTGGTTAAAGTTCCAAAATAATTCTAAGAAAATTTTTCCTAATAGGTAACAAAATTGAACAACCTATTTTTTCATCTTAATTTTTTATTTCAATATTTGAATACACAAGTTCTGGTAAACAAAAAAATAAATGAAATAAATTGAACTTGAACTTATTGCGACAATTTAATTTGTGTTTTTCCCACTAGCTTCATAATTACAGAGTACCAGTTTGTAACTGATATGCGACTGGCATATGAGACTTTTGATAATTTACGATAATTATTATTTAAATATTAGGAATACATATTCAACGTATGTATTTTTATGGTGCGTTCAATAACAAATTCAAACAACTTAACTTTTCCTCTTTGTTAACGATTTGGGCGTTTTGAAAATCAGAGACAATTACTAGGTCAGTCGCATTATTATATCAAATTGTCACTTAATATATATTTCTATAAGATTTAACAGTGGTAGAGTCCGCTTTAACATCTTCGCACGTATCGCCCTTTTTCTCATGAGGAAAGGATGGGAAGTGGAAGTGGACTTTCCGAATTAGAGGATGCATGGAAGGGGAAAATATTTTCTTTCTGTGCATCCTATCCTCCGTCGATTAAAAGTATGCAACGCATATGCGTATGTCTATGGGCAACAGTCACTTCGCTATTTCAGCGATTTCAGGTGGCCGCTCGCTCGTTTACCACCTTATGATATATAAAAAAAAGAGATTCTATAAGTTAAATAAATTCTGTTGAACATTTTCGAAATCATAAATAAACAAACTAAACCTAGGCCCTTAATACTGAAGAATTCTAACTAGCCAGATTTTCATTGAGCAAACAAATTCAAATATCATAAAAAATTAGTTGCACTTGTAAAGAATTTTTGTCAAAATTTATATTTTTTAAAACGTTATATAATTAGTAAATTTTATTGCTAACCATAAAATTAGCGGAAAATATTTTAAATGTAAATAATGCCTATGTAGATAATATTTCCATATTTATTAATACTGACAGGAAATCCGCGAATACGGTTTGATAAAGTGATATCAACATCCTATAATCAAGTATAGTGCTTACTGCATACGTCTAGACATGTTGAAGGCTGTTTACTTCAACGCCTTTATGAATCATTCCACTTAAATATTCTAAGCAGCTTTTTGAACAGACAAAAGACGCTGTTATAAATATAAATTTAGTCTTATCAGGTAATGCGTAAGTGGTGTAACAAGAACGTGTTTAGTTTAAACAAAAAAAATATTTATTTTATAAGAAGAATAGAGTAAGAAATATGTCCGTCGGCGCGGAATTTAAAAAAAAAACCTAATAAATGTGTTCTTCCGGACTATGTCCTAAATCTGTGAAAAATTTCATCAAGATCTGTTCAGTCGTTCCGGGCAAACCTTTTAACAAACATTCATCCATCAAAACTTTCGCATTTATAATGTACAAAAGCGATCTTTGTGATTTATTTTTTTTATAGAAAATGGAATCAGGGCAGTTGTTGCGTAAATTGAATGATAGACATATGGATTTGTCAACGTATCCGGTGAATTTAAATACTGAACGCAATTAAAAACATCCGCTTGTTTAAATATTTGTATAATTTTGTAATTTTATCACATTTTATGACGGCATATTTGATCTTGCATGACAGCCTTCGAAACACCTATTTTTTAATATAGATGAATATGTTACGAGAACCTAGGCTTAAGCTTCAAAGCAACTAACAAGTGATGGACAAATATTGCTTTTGAGTAGATTTATTTAATTTTCCAAAATGTCTGCTTTATCTCAGACTAAAAATAAAAGTGCTTGATAATAGAACTTTACATAAAAAATGGCTATCAGTAAAACTTCCGTAAATCATTATTCAATCTGTGTGCAGTTTTATTCTTATGAACAGTCTAATTTGAATACCTAAGTATTTTATATCAATATTCATGTTTATATTTTAAATATTATTTTGCATTTAGTATGCTTTGTTATTTTCATACAAGAATTCTTAACAAGAAGTACAATTACATTCAACAAAAAAAAGGATCTATACAGATAGACGGACGGACAACAAAGGGTTCATATATGAGTTCCGTTTTTGCCTTTCGAGCTACGGAATCCTAAAAAGATACTGTCTAGTTAATATACGGAAATATTACAGATAAATATTGCCGCTTGGGCCGACATAAGACAATTTATCCAACATATTATTGTTAAAAAAAGATAAACGTTACATCATTAATTCGTGCGCGAACATGGTTATGCACTCCTCTAAGACGGCGGTCATGACCCTACATAATGTAACGTACGAACAAACGAAAAAATGATGAACGACATCTTATAACAACAATGGCGACTATAAATAGGCTCATACGATGTTATGCAACACAAAAAGGCAAAGACTATAGAGCTACCGGGCAAGACGTATGGCGTTTGTATTATCGTTTTTTTTTCGTTCGAAATTCAAATAGCGCATCAATTGCCAATGCTTCATTGTGTTAAAATGAAGTCCGTATATCAAGTGCATCATTAAGACGAATTAATAAAAATAAATTGTCATAGATAAAACAGTCACATCCTAAAAACCTGACTTGTATTTGATAACAAGGGGGGCATCTATACCAACAGTTAGAATGTGAATTTTAATGAAATCATAAATGGCCAGTCCTAAAGTTATAAAATCCCCTTGGGTAATTACTACAAGAATAATTTATATTAATGTTATTAAAGATTAATGGTAGGCATTGCTTGTCCGTTTGCTTTACCTTCCGTATTTAAAATAGCGCAATAAAGTACCTTCACTAAGTCAAAGGTTACGAGTGATGATAATGAATTAGGTGGCAGAATTTACAATAATAAATCATAGTATTATAATTTTACAGACTTTACATTTGATTCTATTTAATAAGACAAATTAAAAGTAAGCATTAACTTTACGAAGTTTTATAAAACTAAATACTGTTTGTTAAAATGTATTCTCCAAAAATAAATATTTGACTCGTTAGTGGCGGTCCTTTATGTCAGAATAAAAAAAAAGTCTTAATTAGTATCCTATGTCTTCTTCCAGGCTATGATCTTCATCCATGTCAAATTACAGCGATATCCATGTAGCCGTTGTGGAGATATCTTCAAACTAACGTTCATCTATATATCAAAAATTCGCATTTATAATATTAGTAAGATTTATAAACACAAAATCGTTACAGGATATGGATAAGAAATGAATATATCTGAAGGATCTCTTAGTATAAGAAATCCTTGCACAAAAAACACTAGAAAATGGTAAGGAAATGGATTCTCCTTTTTATATTTACAACCAACTAAATGCAGGAAAACGCCGACAATAGGTTGGTTTCGGTGAAATCTGCCTTTAACCCTGAAGTAAATATGTTCTAGGTATTACAAGGTGAAAGTTAATGCCTCTCAGAATTTGTATACATGTAAACAAAGTTCTTTAACAAGTTGCATTATTAGTAATGTAAAATTTTTATAGCAGTTTGTATGACTGTAACTACCAGGTGAACTGTTTTGTTTCTTTGTTATTTAACAATAAATCAGTGCAATATTACACGCATCACATTTATGTTACTGTACAATTGTTAACTTTGTCAATTTATAATCGAACTTAGATAATGAGCTATCAGCGAGTTTTAAACTGATAAATTAATTATTAATTTAACGTATTGTTTCTAATACTACATTATTTGCTGGCATAAATTTTAATTTAGATTGAAATACAAAAAAGATATCTGTTTCGTTCTACAACATATTTTCCAATTATAAGTAAAGCGTTTTGTTAACAATTTGCGTACTATTTGTAATAAATGTAGTCAGACTAGAAAATGTCAAAGTTTACAAACGTTAAGTAACATATAGATTTTAATTGTATTTGTCATATCATCCGATAATAACGTAATAATTAATAATTGCTTACAGTGACCTCACGTGCAACAAATATGGACTTAATAGGACTAATCAT